ACATAATAACGCTTATTACTTAACATTTGATGATCTGTTGAAATTTTCGGGTAAAACGATCTTTTTAAAAAATCATAGTACTACAAGGAATAAAATTTATAACAAAAAAATAATTTTTATAATAAAAATTCTTCCGAGGGTATATCAGAACTACTAAAGTTTTGCTAAGCAATTCGGTTGCGAGCTCGCTGAGCTAGCTTAACCTCACCCAAGAACGAAATATCAGAATCCCGAATAGGTTGTCCATCCGGTGAAGAAGCGCTGGTCAAAGCAGTTGGAAAATTTGTCAGCTGCATAACTGTGGAATCATGTTAACAGGAATTTGCAAACTATTTCTGAGGGAATCAAAAATTAGTCAAATTTTTAATACTTTAGCTTGTTACTTTTGCAGATTTTATTAATAACAAGTTACTATGTGTCGATAATTTTTTTCAACTAATCCGCATTGCATTTATTGCTCAATCAGGCGTTTTATTATAAGGTGAAAGGGCTTGAGGCCTAAAGCCGGTAAGTAAATAAATGCCCAGATAGGGCACATAAATGATGAGGAAGCAGCTGGGTTGCTGTTCAAAGTGCGTGGATCCAAGCCGCAAAGGCCCAAAGCTACCAGCACCCATCCGTTCCATTCTTCCAGAGCATCCAGCAAGCTACTTTTTTCGATGCCACATTCTAATTCTTCCTCCCACTGATTCCACTTGCCATTTTGCAGCTTCATCTAAAATTTGATACTCCTCAAAATAAAATCAGTTACATCTAATTACCTGTTAGTCGGCAAGGTATCTATCTCATCTGGAATAGAAGCGGCGACATTTGGGATGAGGTGGTGCTCAACGCACACACCCAAGGACACTTCGAAACTTGTCAAAGTACTTTTGCCGGTAGAAACGTCAAGCTGTTAATCTCTTTAAAAAACAAAGCAAGCGTAGGTTGTCAGCAGGCCTGCTACAAGTTGATACAATATTGCCATTAGTAGAAAATTACCAGCTTTGTCGTTGAAAAGTCAGGCTGCGTGTTGACAAAAAGGAACAAATGGCGGGTACAAGCAAGGAGTGAAGAAGACCAGTCCTGCTACTTTAACCTCACTTGTCCCAAGTTCGAAATGACCCATATATTTGAATGTCTCGCCACGACACAGAAGTGATATGATTTATACAGTTGTCTGGTTACGCGTTATTTGGTAGTTGCCAGCAATGGTGTTATAGCTAATCTCCATGTTCTACCAAGTGTTTTACCGATTTGTTTTAAAATGACGTTTGTTTTACTTTCAAGATATCCCTACCTAGCAGATATTTCCGAAAGGGCGAACTTTACCTGCGATCGAAGCATTAAAGCAAAGTACAGCAAGTTATGGAGCATAAGGTACAATTAGAAGAATGCAGTCATACTAATTTTCTGCTTTTCATGGCCTTCCTATCTCTTTAGTGCGATAATATGCTTGAAAACTAAGTATACTAACAAATAGTGCTACTCTCAGCTCAAATCAGCCTGTCA